AACTCCTCAGTTTCCCAGTGTAAACTTGTCACTTAATCCTAGCTCTTTCAATAGTGTTCAGTATAAAAAAAATACAGAGAAATGTTTATGATAGGTGTTACAGATGGATAAGCTGTTGGGGCAACAAATTGGGAAGATGACCAGGGTGCCAAATAGCCAACAAATGCAATTGTAACTTTATTTAGATTGACACAAACTTGAATGATCATATTTGAAATCCTTATGTAGATCAAGATAGTTGATATCAAAATAATAAAATTAGGTTTGGCTCTCCTATCCCTTTAAATTCTGGTCCTGTAGATTCACAGATATTTCTTGAATTAACTGCTGAAGTTAGGGCAATCTTACCACTTTATCTCATCAGTGATTTTCCTGTGCGCATTTCATTGAAATTGTTTTACTTCTACGTACTTTTATATTTGTTTTAATTTTCATTCTGCAATCCTGTAATTACAATTTCCATATGTTTCATATCACTGTAGCATATGGGTTTGCAATGTTAGTTCTGTCTTGAAGTTCTTTAATTTACTCATTGCACTGAATGATTAAAGTGAAATTTTGTCCCTCTTACCGTGAAAATTCAGTGTCTTTGGGGTGGGTTCTTTAGCTGTAGCCTCTTCTCAGATAATCTCCAGTGGTCCAAATGGTGTTCTTTTAATCGTGTTATCGCTGCCCATGACTGTCACTCAGTGCCATAACTTGGAGACTCTTCAATTTTCCCTGTGCTGCACAGACTGTTTCTGGATCTAGCCTGCTACATTCATATTTCTCCACTCCAAGTCCTACAAAGTGGAACTATGGATCATCTCACACTTGCCACTTTAATGCATGGCCATGTGTATGTTAAGTTGGGTACAGTTAAATTTTCCGGCATTTGAATTGGGTGGCTCAGTATATAAATCAACAAACATGTTTGTCTTTTTCAGTTTTCAGGTATAATTAGTTTGGGCAAGTTTATATTAACATTTCTATTCATATCAGGGTCAAATTCTAGTCACCACTCTAAGTAACAGGGCAGATGCTCACAAAGTGAAATAGTGTACTTCGGGATCAATAAGATTTATCTCTCAAACTGATCTCTTGGAGAAGAAATAGAACTTTTCCGTATTTGAAAACAAGCAGATGAGCGAGGGAAACTGGCACTTCTTCAAACAGTATGTCTGCACACATTTGTGGCTTTGCCAGAAATTGTTTGATGCTGGGCTTCATCAGTGGCAGCAGTTGTCCAACAGTATTTTGGTGACTTTGTTATTGCTGACAGGAGTGGGAAGTACTTGTGTGAGGCTCCTGCATGCTGTATGATGGGGTAGTTCTGAAGCATGCAGGACACCTGTGACCTCCACTAGCCTGTCCCAGTGGCAAATGGTTTGTGAAGCAGTTCTCCCTCCAGAACTGCATTGCCATGGAATCAGGAAACAGGAGCATTGGCAGGTCTTGACTTTTGGATCATGTTGAGAAGAGGCAATCTGATGAGTGGTTACTCGGTAAAAGTGGGAGAGATTCCCACACAGATCTTGTTCCAGATGAAGTCTGTGCAAATTTGCCCCTAACTCTGAAGTTACCTTTTATTTGCAACTTCCATGTGGTTCCTTAGCTGTGTTTAGCGTTTCAGGCTGCAATAGAAATGAAATCACAGTTGCTTCATGTTCATAAGCAGTTCTGTAATAACAAACTGTGTTATGTTAGAAGAAATTTAAATGTGAATATTACATTTCTACTCCTAGTTTCAAGGACATTTCACTGGAGCTCCTTAGCTGTGTTGCAAGAGAAAGGAAAAACATGTCACGCACATCTTCTGCCACAGACCTGAAAACCAGCTGAAGTTTCTTGACAGACACATAGATGTTGACTTCTGTTTCATACAACCTGGCCTGGGTGTCCCATGAAACCTCTGAGTTCTGAGGGAAGATCTTATTTAATTTGAAATGATGGGGAAGTTGATGGATCGGACTGATTTCTCCTGGAGTTCACAAGCTCATTCAAACTCACAGGCTCACAAGTCAATGTGAATTAAAATCTTGCCCTGAAGGCCTTGAATAGCAACTTTGCTTAGAAATGAAATTGCCAGGCTTCACTGTTACACTTCTAAACCAATTCACTAGTGTTTAAAAGAAGGCTTGACTGAGCTCATGATAAGACACTGATGCTGGCTTTTTCAACATTAACCTTACAGCCTTAAAATACAGTGGACTTGATAATGCAGCAACTGACGGAATTACTGAGAAGAGGAAAATAAATTAGAACTGTGTCAGCAGTTAGAGGTCTGGTTTTTGGGTACAGAAAGAAACAGCACTGGTGAAAAAAAAAAAAAATCCAGCTGGCTTTTGGGATAGAAATGCTGCAGAGGAAATTTGCCCTTTGTTATGGAGACGGCTTGAAGATTTGAGAGTGCTTGAGTAGTTACAGGTAGTTTAGCAACAGGAGGGGGAGCTCTAACCGCGTTACCCAAAGAGGACAGCAATTCTGGACTTGGTAGCAAGCCTTTAAATCAAAGTACTGTACTTCAGCTGCTCCCTGTCAATTAAATGTTGGTGGCTGCCCTTCATATAGGCAAGATCAATGGAGAATGTGCATGTCTGGAAAAAGAAAGGCAGTCCATGCCCTGTTCCTATCTCTTCTGCTATTGCTACCTTATTTTTTCAATTCCAGGCATAGTGTAGTTCTGTTACTGTCAAGGAAAGCTGTATTGCAGCCCTGCCATAGCAGATGTAGTTCCTTTCCGCCCATCCTTACCATCCACTTCAAATACCAATGTCCTGTTCCTCAGGTACTGTAAGTATTCCTTTAGATGTCAGCTTTAGAGAGGAGAGATAGGTATTGAAAATATATGTGAGACATTATGTCTATAGTTAAAGCAAAAACAGATGCAGGAGAAGGAAGAATTAATTTCCAGTGTAAGTAGGGTGAAGAACATTGAGAGATTTGTGAAACAGCATAATTTAACTGGTATTTTAAAGGCTGGCTTCAACTCAGAAATGTATCAGCATTAAGAAATTGATGGACATGGCAAGGAACAGAGAAGTTTGGGGGTTTTGTAAGCTGGAGATTTCTGTAAACCAGAAACCCACTTCCTCTAGTAAACATTTACACTTAAATATCTCTAAAACAGTATTTTTTTGATTACTTTCTGAGTGGAAGGAAATGCAATTCTCCCTCCCTATTTATGGATGGGGGCGGAGACACAGAGTAGGGTTTGAGGGGAAGGAAGCGTGTTTTTACACAGACAGATGTATGCAGACATGTGGATGTAAGTGGTAGGATGCAGGGTAGCTCTGGCTCAGAAGCTGTGTAGTGGTGTCAGCTCCAGGCTGTGGGCAGGGGATGTGCCCTGCTCTTGGTATATCAGTTCAGGCAAAGCGCCAGTAAGATGCTTTTTTGGCTTCCAATCCAGAACCTGCTTGCATCTGGGATGAGTGGATGGACCTCTATTTTGACTGCACCCAACTGTATAGCCATGCCTCAAGTTAATTTTTAATGTTCACAGGGTGAAAAAGGAATACATTCAGTTCTCCTTTTAAGCTGCATAAGTGCTGGCTTAACTGATTAGCATCTGTCTTCTTTATTTGAATGTGCATGGTATTGTCCTTTATGCAAATGTTATTGTTAATCTTGCCATGTCTGTGTTGTTTACTTGGATAATACAAAAATAATTTCAAGTAAATGCTTTGGATTTTGCTTGGCATTTGTTTGTTTTGAATAGGAAAGATTCTAGTCGTCTTCTGCTTAAATTACTTATCTAAGGTAACTGAGTGGTTTTATTGTGAGCTCTTAAAACATTGGTGAATATTTTTTCCATACAGTTGGAGTGAAAGGAAATTATTGTGAGAGACTATTCCTGATATTCTGTATAACATTAAAAAGCCCCAACTTTGCTTTCAGAGTATGTGTTGGTATCTCTGCACTCATGATGCAGTTGGCTGTGTTTTTCCTCCCTGAATTCATTGGATCAAAGCAATGATATAAATCTAAGTTTTTCTTCATCAACTTCTCTCCAAGTTTTGTAGTTTGCCAGAATTAAATAGGGAATCTGGGAATAATACATGATCATAGATACAGTACATATCACGCAGGCTTTATTTCCAGCATGTCAGTGGAGGGTTATATTGAATCCTTTTGTTTTGCTGTAGCATAATTACAATGAATCTTTTGTAGCTTGGGACATTGAGTCTAAAATCAAGAAATGTGAGAGGTATCTGGCAAGAGAAGATAACATGAATTTTATTCTAGCATTGCTGTTGTTCTTGACTATGTTCTGACTGGCCAGCAAGATCTGCAGAAAAAGACTAGGTCATGTGTGTATGACTTTGAATACCTATCAGGGAAAAGATCAGTCCAGGGTCACGGTGCTTTAAACACTGCCAATTTGGTCTCAGGAGGGACTAGATGTGTTGCAGTTACCAGAAAGGAGAAAATGTAACTAACTGCGTTGAGACCAAGAGGTTGTCTTTTTAATTTTAGTTTCAGATTAACTAAGTTCAGTTTAGGATGATCTTTAAAACTTTAACATTAATGAAGAGTGACAAGCAAGTAGTGTCTATATAAGAAGAAAAAAAACCCCAAAGACTAGTTTTGCGTGTATGATATTCCTTTCCCAAATAGTTGGAGAGATGAAAGCTTTAGCCTGCATTCGTGTATTAGCTATTTCAGTCATTCAGTAATGAATTGTGTATTATCGTACAAAAGTTATTTTATTTTAGATAGGGGTCACTGCAGGATTGGGCTGAGATTTAAAGTCACTGGAAGAAATTACTTTTAGTAGCCACACACCTGATCTGCTTTGGAAGGTGTACCTTTGCTAGCTGTACAAAGACACAAGTATCCAGTAATTTCTGAGCCTATTAAATCCCTCCTTTATACCACAGAGTTCATAATATTTTGCAGGATGTACAGACTATACTGATAATGACATATTTGCAATGTATGAATACATATTATGTATATTTGTATTGTTGCAGTTTTAGCTGTTGTAATTATGCTGACTGAAAGATGACAGGCTCGTCATGGTTTTGTCTTCAAATAAAGGCTTATTCATTTTCAAAAAACTTTTCCTGGTCACTCAATCCAGGCTGATGCTGAGTCCATGCACTTGAGGGGGACGCTGGGTACAATTCAGCAGGGTCATGCAGAGGCCAGGCTTACTTCATGCTAAGAAATTATTTTATGCAGATTTGGGAATAATACTGTTGTTCTTGGTTCCGCACAGATGGTACCAGACAGGAAGAATTGGAAGGTGAACTCAGTGAAGAAGAACGCTGGTTTGGAAATTCTTCAGAAACTCCTTCAGAAGCATCATATGGAGAAGTCCAGGAGAACTTTAAGTTGTCTCTTGAGGACAGAGTCCAAGAGCAGTCCACTTCCCCAGATACTTCTTTGGGAAGTGCAACTCCTAGCAGCAACACAGCAGAGCTGGGAACTATTGAAAATGAGGCACTAAGAGACACATTACAGAGCAAAGAGCACCTTTCTCCTGATGTGTCATCTCTGTGTGAAGAAGAGCCTCCTGGTCCAAATAAGCCACTGAGTAGTAACCTGAGACGACTGCTGGAGGCTGGCTCTCTCAAGCTGGATGCTGCTGTTAAAGTCAATGGCAGAGTTGAGTCCCCCGTAAATCTTGGCTCAAATCTCTCCTTCTCTCCACCGGCTCATCATGCCCAGCAGCTAAGTGTTCTTGCCAGAAAGCTTGCTGAGAAACAGGAACAAAGTGACCAATACAATGCAAGTAGTCACTTTATATGGAATCAAGGTAAGTGGTTGCCAAACTCAACCACTACCTGTGGTTTGTCCCCTGATTCAGCTATCCTGAAACTGAAAGCTGCAGCCAATGCTGTTTTGCAGGACAAATCTCTTTCAAGGACTGAAGACACTATAAGATTTGAATCCTTTTCCTCACCTTTTAGTTCTCAGTCAGCCAGCTCCACATTAGCAGCTTTATCTAAGAAAGTGAGTGAAAGAAGCATGACTCCTGGGCAGGAGCACCCGCCTCCAGCTAGTTCTTTTCTTTCTCTGGCTTCCATGACCTCTTCAGCTGCCCTTCTCAAGGAGGTTGCTGCAAGGGCTGCAGGCACCCTGTTGGCCGAGAAGAAGTCACTGGTTGCTGAGGATCCCCTGCAGCTTTCAGAGATGAAACAAGAGAAAGCAACTCCACCACAGTCTTTGGAATTATTGTTACTGCCAGTTCCTAAGGGAAGAGCATCCAAACCCACTACTACAGGTATGGTTACAGCTTGAGCCACTAAATAAAATTTATTTGTTTTGCTATAGGCTTATATAACATCTCTTCAATGGGTCTGGATTTGCTTTGATTCCATGTACTATGAGAATAAGAAATAGGTTCTTTAGGTAAACAATAGAAAAGCTTTTTAAAATACCACTTGAAGACCAAACTGTCACAAATGTTTCCATATTTGAAAGATGTGAGTGTGCAGTTCAGTACTTCTTTTTTTATTCCATACAATGGTATTTCCCCCTCTCACCAAGTTCAGAATAAGTCCACAAAATATTTTATGGAGAAGATCAAAGAATCCCTGTTAGGGAGCTCATGATATCAGTGAGCATGTACAAAACTAGTGCTTTTGAAATACTGGACAAGGGAGAATTCTCCCTCCTGCTGTCTCTGTCACAAACGGACTTTTGTATAATCGCTTACTACCCTGTCCTAATTTACCAGAGGATATTATTATGTTGCCACTTTTCATTAAATTTTTTTGCAACAGCATGAACAAAACTCACATTTGGTCTTCTACAATCATTTGTCCTTAAAAAAAGAAGTGAACTGCATTTCTCTGATTTGCTCAACAAGAACCATTTTACACTTCTGACTTCCCTCCACCAGTTCCAGCTGTCAGCAGTCAAGGAATCATGCGCACAGGGAATAAGAAGAAAAAATCTTCATAACAAAAGCTTTCAAGAACTGGCAAGCCATGCAGGGAAATTTAAATGATCCATCTTCAAAATAAGAAAAAATAAGATTTCTTTCATCTCTTTCTATAAAAAGCTCACATCATGGGTTCATATTTCTGGTAGAACATACAGGCTTCAGTTGTCATCGGTGTTCTCCCTGCAGTGGCATATTCTGCTGCTGATGGGGAGGAGGCATGTTGGGTGTCTTCACAAGATGCACAAAGTGGTTCAGTGTATTAGGGCTTTGTCAGGCTGAGGTTTATCAGGAATACTCACTTGACTGTACAGGTGTAGCAAGGCATTGTGCAGACATGAAGCCTGACATGGACATTGTATAATTGCACTCCCGTCGTTCTGACCTAGCCTTTTTGTTTAGGGATATTATGAGGTCTGGTCTGTCCCTGTGCAGCTCGTCATAAAAACTCACAGTGTGGAAGCTATTGGATGGGCAGCAGTGCTTATTCCTCCCTTGGAGGAGGAGGGGGAGGGATATGATGAGATGCAGCCGATACCAGTTTTCTTCTCTGAGTTACATGTGTTCTGCAAATGCTTTGGTGGTGTGTTTTGCCAAGGCAATTAAAGTGGCAAACTATTATTGGCATGGATCTGGCCTAAGGTTTTCATTAGTTTAGATTAAGCCTCTTTTGGAGTAACTTAAGCTAAACCAATAAAAGGTCCTTTCGATGGGAATAGGAGTATCCACATTGGCTACACCAGTGTGATGGTGGGTATTAATTTAATGTGACTTTCCCATGAAGACTGGCTTTCATATAAGAAAGGCAGCTAGGTATAGTAAAGGAGTAAAATTAAAATTTATTTTACATTGGTTTATTTTCTGCTAGAGAAAAAGCTGTTCACATCATAAGTTTTTACTGGGGAAAAGTAAATGGTTGTAGTGAAATCCAGGTTCTGTGTTTGACCTACAAGCTGTGGGATTTGCCTGTGCTGTTTATACTAGGGGAGTGCTCTGTGTAAGCACGCAAGTGTGCTGGTAGGACTGGAACTTTGTAAACTAGCTCTGATGCAGCAAATTCATAACAACTATTCTCTTTGCTGAAGGCCCAAGCATACTGCTACTAAAGGAAAACAAATGGGGGCTGACTGGCTCAGGTCCTTGGTAACCATGGCACAGCTATTCATTTTTTATAATATATGGACTAGTATCCCAAGAGGAAGGGTGTTTCCTTTCAGGTCATATGCACTGGGCCAATGCCAGTTGGCATCTAAGCAAAATTTATCGTATAATGTTCATAACAAAAGTTCTTTTAAGTCCATTTTCTGATACGGTATTAAGTTTTTACTTTCTAAAAAATTTAACCAATTGAAAATACAAGGCAAGTTGCTAGTTAGCATATCTGGATATTGATTGTAGAAAGCCAGACTCCTTGATTCCTTCAGCCATGGAGGAATGCAGCTTGCAAAAAGAGGTCACTCTTTAGTGACTTTTGATTGAAGACTTCACTTCTGCAAAAGTTGAGTAGGGCAGATGAGCATGTATGTTTGCCATGAAAATAAATGTCACACGTTTCTGATTCCTTTTGCACCTACAACCTTATAGCACTAAAAGTAAAAAGGAGTATTTCATTTTATAATATTTTATCTTTTTGTGTATGTCTGATTGCTGCTTGAGACGTGCTTTTTTTTGTCTTGTTCCCAGAGAGAGAGATCTTTTCTCGGTAGGTATAGCTCAACAGGTGTTTTTTTTACCCTCCCATACTTTGAACATTTAAGGCCCTGGTGAGTTTGCTTTGTTGTTACAAACCTGATTCACTTGCCCACCAGCAACACCTAGCTTTGGTTATGAGATTGATACTCAGTGAGATTAATTAGATGTTGACAAATAAGGAACAGTAAAGATGGAGGCTATTTGAAGAGGAATATGTTTTCTGCTCTTTTGTCCACCATGTTGAGTTATTTGCTCAGAATTATTTCAAGCAAGAAGCTGAAGCAGTGGCTTATCAGAGCATAGTCAGCTCTGAAACTGCATGTCAGGTTTGGTGGGACCTGATCATTACTTGCATAGGTTATATTAAAGTGGTACAGAGAAAGACTAGCATTTCTATCAGTCTGTTAATATTGCCAATTTTATAAAATGCTCATGTGTTTGGGATGAAATTTAAGAGGAATCCTGAAGTCTGTTAAATTTCTGGTGGTGTTTTTGTAAGAGTCTGGGTAGCAGACCTTTCTTTTACTTGACTGAATGTGTGTTTGGTGTAACTTTTTGCCTGCATTGCTGGCAGCTTTTTTCCTGAAGCACTGTCTAGCACTCTCCTCACCGAAGTCA